GTAACTTTTTGCTAATGCATTAGGAAGGTTAAAGAGAATTCCATGGAATTTCCAGAAGAATTTAGAGATAAAGATAATTCTGAGCAAAATTTGAAGACAATTGTCGGCGGGAGAATTCTCCCTGCTCGATGATGTTGGCAAGGAAGGGGGATTACAAGTTTTGCTCACAAAAAATAATAGGCTCTTTTCAATTGTTGGTCAAGAATCTGAGGTGAGTTGCATGGGAACTCTACGGAGAATCTAAAGACAATTAAAAAAAAAATAAGCTCCAGTTAATTCTAAGGGTTTAAAATTCGAAGAGTGTTCTACAGAGAATTTATCAAGACATTTTCAAGGGACTTCCAGAAAGAATTTCAAATTTATTTTAGAAGAGTTCTGAAAAGAATTCTCAATCAAATGCGTGTAAAGTTTTGAGCGAAGGCTTCGAACGTGTCGCAAAACCAAATTCAAGATCCAGCAAAAGTGCTGCTGTCTTTGAAATGACACATTTAACCTTCGGCTCAATCACATTCAGTTTTATGCTTAATTCAAATGTATATAGCTAACCGGGAAAATTTCCAAAATTCCGGGAGAAAACCGGCAAATTGTTAATCGAGATTTGCTGGTCACCATGAAGATGGAGGAGATCTGGATGAATTTATGCCCCTAGGGTTGAGTTCGGAAGCAGTCAGAAAAGAACTTAGCTGATGGGGTTGTCTTACCAAAAACGGGGAGGCACTGCACCTGGATTTTTTTAGAAAATTACTGGAAAATCAGGGAATATCAGAAAATTTTATTTTCGTCTTTGAGTCGGCACCTTGTTCTATAACCTCGCAACCGGTCGTCTCTCTTTCTGTTCTCTCGATAGTCATAGCAGACGAGCACGTGATTGGTTGATGGTAGCCTAAATGTTTGATAAATTTTCAATAGTTTACTAATTATAAATTACTATAATAGGGGAAATGACGGCTTCGGCATGACAGACTATTTTCGGCAACCCAAATTGAAACACTATTTTCACTGGATTTTCTTACGAAAACACTTCGCTGAATGCATGCAAACGATTCTTTATGCTTTCAGCTTCAATTTGACTATATTTTTACCACTGAGAAAAAGCAATCTACCAGGGTTTTCTTGAAATGAAACACACGCTCTACAAATTGTAGCTGATTTCGAGTTGCCGATAATAGAACAGCAGATTTACATGCAGTTCAAATGGAACGGTTGCCGAAGAAAAACTGGTTGCCGACAATACTCGCTCTCACTAGAGAAGATTGGAGCTTTGTAAAAGCGTTTCAAAACAGTTTTTGACAATTCTTTCGACTGAAATTGTTAGAGCAGCTGGCAGCAAAAGATTGTAAACAAACCAATACTGCATATGTGTGCGTTCCATAGAGAAAAAGGCTATAGAAAGAAGGTCGCTGCTTAGGTTGCCGAGAATACGTAAATTCCCCTATTTACGCCAAACAAATCTTACATCAATTCTGAATCAAATGGTGTAAAACGAATTTAAATCCATCAATAAATGACCAAGTTATAAGCGTTCAAAACCTAACACTATTTCCCAGTATAGTCCACAAAGACGTAGTCATACGTTAAAAAACAGGAGCTCTGAGAGTGGTAAAAACGGCCCTGGTTGGAATCGGAGTTCTCCTTTTAAAGGGGATGATGAGCTGCTATGTACATTGAGACTACATTAGGGTAATATTTCTGTTAGGAGATTCCTAATTGTTAAGGTGATTCCTTAAACAGTTCAAAAATGGTCGTCATGATAGCTGATGTGCCCTATCAGTTCGTGTTTTCTAGAGCACAAAACTCAGACACTGTTGCAATATCGCTCAGTGCTGCGAACATGAAGTTTCAGTTTCATTGTTGTATGTTTTGTGATAGGTGATATGAGCGGTTCCATATCATTAAAGCAACGAGTAATTTTCATCTTTTTTGATTTGCATGAAACCTTGCATACAAGTTTTTGGGAAAGAAAAACGCCGTTTTGCATACTTGGTTCGCCATTTTGAATCTAGCCTTACTTATGAGAAGGGCCTATGAAAAATGCACATGATATCTTCAAAAAATTGTATCTCGGAAACGGTTTGTCCGATTGGTTTGGTGTATTGGGCGAAGTTTTAGACAATTGTTGGTGTTATATGGAAAAAATATGCACGGCAAAAAAAAAAGTTTGGTATTTGTGTTTTGAACTAAAATATAATTTTTCCCTCTAAAGTGACATGTCAATATTTTTTTTATTATCCTTATGTTATAGCTGACTGAAAATGCTATCTAGTGCACAGTAGGTTGTTCTGGAGAAAAATAGGTTACGATGAAAAAAATTGTTTTTTAAAAAAATACAATTTTCAAAAAAGCTATTAAAAAAAAGTCAAAAAAGTTTGTCACCCTAATTTTATGAAAGTACATCAAATTTGCAAACAAAAAGTACTTCGGTAACATTTTTCTAAGATGCACCGTTTAGAAGATATTACTGATTTAATATTGTTTAACTTAATAAGTTTTGGCCCTTTTCGGATGTACTCCGTGTTTTTCCAGTTTCAAAAGTATTTTTTTCGGAAAGATTGGAAAATTTTGAGTTAAAATGACACTGACAGCATCCTTGAGCCGCCGGCTACGCTTTGTTCCTCGTTTTGGGTGAGGTGAGCTCTTGAATCAATATGTAGACGGCAAGACGAACAAACACGAAAATCCTTGGTGTTCAGTGTGGATACCTTGGAAAATCCAATTGATTTTAGTTTTTGGATGATACCATCCGTGAGATATCGCAGCTCTTTCGAACACTGAATGCCTTTGAATGGGCGAATACATCTTATTTTACTCATTTTGTAATCTGTAACATAGAAAATATTTTCCAATTGTTAGTTTTGTATGAAAATATCACAAAACATATAATTAAAATGTGTATTTAAAACTTACCTTTGCACCAAAACGTGTTACACTTTCCTTTACAATTATTATGTTATCAAACAACACTGGATCTCGTTCAAAAACACAGGATTATGAGCTGAAATTACTATAATCACTATGCTACTAGCAACCTTTCTGCATTTACTGTTTGGTTTTCCCTAGTAGATACTGGATGAATTCAGAACCGAGTCAGACATTATTATACAGCTCACGGGTAGAAATCATAGAATGCTGGGTAAAGACTGTTGGAAGATAGGTAGAGTTGAACGCTCAGGTATCGTCGAACCTTCAGGTACGAGTTTGGAGAGTTGGAGCGAGGTAGATTTGCTGGCGTTAGTATATTGTTATTGAAGAAGATTGTAAATTGTATATACCTGCAATGAATAAAGAGTGCGGCGGTTGTTGATTGAGGTATCAGTCGGCAGCCCTCTAGTTTGATGGAAGGTGACTACTGCGTTCTTTTTATTTATTATTAAGGAACGGTCAACGACGGAGCTAGCCTCGTTATGGCCAGCGTGGCCATGGTGGACTAGTTCCAACAAAGACCATGTTTACAATCACCGTAGATACCAGTTAGCTGTACGTAGTACAGCTAACTGGTATCTGATTACCTGTATCTAATACTTGTTAGCACGTTTTCAGCACAACGCACCAAAAATCATTTGAAGAAATCATTGTTCCTGATAGTGGGATTTTGTAACTTGTTTTTCAAAATACTTTTAAGGCAGAGAATTTCACTCGAATCTTTAAGCTGTCAGTGTCATTTTAACTCAAAATTTTCCAATCTTTCCGAAAAAAATACTTTTGAAACTGGAAAAACACGGAGTACATCCGAAAAGGGCCAAAACTTATTAAGTTATCAAAAAAAAAACAATATTAAATCAGTAATATCTTCTAAACGGTGCATCTTAGAAAAATGTTACCGAAGTACTTTTTGTTTGCAAATTTGATGTACTTTCATAAAATTAGGGTGACAAACTTTTTTGACTTTTTTTAATAGCTTTTTTGAAAATTGTATTTTAAAAAAAAAACTATTTTTTTCATCGTAACCTATTTTTCTCCAGAACAACCTACTGTGATAGCATTTTCAGTCAGCTATAACATAAGGATAATAAAAAAATTATTAGCATGTCACTTTAAAGGGAAAATTTATATTTTAGTTCAAAACACAAATACCAAACTTTTTTTTTACCGTGCATATTTTCTCACCAACAATTGTCTAACAATTGTCTAACAATTGTCTAAAACTTCGCCCAAGACACCAAACCAATCAGACAAACCGTTTCCGAGATACAATTTTTTGAAGATAGCATGTGCATTTTTCATAGGCCCTTCTCATAAGTAAGGCTAGATTCAAAATGGCGAACCAAGTATGCAAAACGGCGTTTTTCTTCCCCAAAAACTTGTATGCAAGGTTTCATGCAAATCAAAAAATACAAAAAATAAAAACTGGAAAAATTTCCCACTTGTTCGTGGAACCGCTCATATTTATGCTCTTAAAATTTTCAGGTGATTTGTGAGGTTATTAAAAAAAAAGGTCTCCACAATGATTAACCTTAAGTATAGCTTAAATAATATTCAAGAAAAATAAAAATAAAATATTTGTTTCCGCCCGGGATCGAACCGGGGGCCTTCCGCGTGTTAGGCGGATGTGATAACCACTACACCACGGAAACAGCGTTGCTTGATTCCTAATTTAATTTGTAATTATTTCCACCTTCCACTACTTGCTCAGCTTATGTTCTCAATTATCCGCATTCGAAGGCGCTTGTGTAGTGCAATAGTGCAACAGGCAAGAAGCGGAAAGTATAAATACTTACCATCACTAAATCACGCTCTCGGAGGTGTGAAAATCGAATGCGAAACGGGTATTTAATGTACCAAAACAAATTTAATTTATCCTGTTTCACCGCTCTGCGCTCTGCTGCCGTGCTTTGCTGCTCTTTCTACGGCCAGTTGAAAGAGATTGAGTGGCAACCAAACGGCAAACGAAGCTCTTCGATAGCAACACGGCATGTGTCCATGATTCGGTTCTGACTCATTAAGATTACGACTTCCGGTGGCGACGTTTTCCTGAGATTTCAAGACTGCACTCGTATGGGACGTTTTTGCAACTCTCGAGGTTTGATAATTAATTTCAACCGTGTCAGCCAGATTTTTTCATCGGACATTTCCATCAAGACGTCCGGAGAGTAAAATTATCTTTACCATGCACTCTGGTAAAAATCAACAGATCCACAGAGAATGATTGTATTTACCAAAACGTCCAAATTAACGAATGCTAATTACGCGTGCTGTCGATCGATGGGAGAATTTCTCGCCCCTTGCTTGGATGGTCGGATATAAACAATTCATAACTCATCTCGCACCTCACAGAGGCAGGCACTCTGCGGTAGGCATTTCATTTATTTCCGATATCTTTATTGGCTCTGTCTTAAAATTTTAAACAAAAATGGATGCAAAAAAAAATGTGTCGAAACGTGTAAATTCTTAAAAAGATACAATGATCAAATTCAAAACAATGTTTGTTCTACTGATGGAATATCAATCGTAGTACTGGGACTCCTTACTGCTACCGAAGCATTTCGCAAATTTGCCACTCATATCTTCCAAACACAGCCGAGTATCCTCTTTGATTTCCTGCATTTTGATGCGAACTTCTTCGCGCATCAGAATGTAACACATGGCGACCAGGCCCATTCCAAGCAGCATGTACACGAAATTGATCACTAACTTGGTGGGTTTTCCGCTCTGAGAATCGAGAATGTTTGCTCCAGGCACGAGATCTCCGATTCCGATTTTGCACAAACTGGTCACGCAAAAGTAGGCAGAATCCAGATAGGTCCACTTCTCCCACTCGGCAAACATGATCGTTCCGGTGGCTATGTAGATCGAGATCACCCAAAGACACGCCGTTGTTGGTACTATGATCCGTTTCCGCTGAGGAACACCACTTCCATCTTCGATGTTCAACTCATCATCTTGGTTGTGACTGCATTCGTGGAGCCATGTATATAGCCACTTGAAAGTAGACGCCAGCACTTTCCCCATATTCATGAAATACAGGATGTACAGCGGTATGCCAAAGGTAGCATAGATGACAGTAGCTCCCTTACCCCAAGCTGTGCGAGGGACCATGTTTCCGTAGCCAATCATGGTAAACACTGCCAAGCAGAACATCAGAGCCGCCGGGAAGTTCCAAACTTCCTCCGGAGTTCGTCCATCGTATCCCTTGCGAATGGCATCCGCAAAGTCATCCTGATATCGTTTCAGTACTAAATCAGCTTCGAAATGCCAGATCGAGCTGTTGAATAAGTTATGCTGCTCCGTAACATCCCACAGCTCTGCCGCACAATTTCGCCTTAAGTTTGCCACATACTCGATCAATGGATTCGGTTCCTGGGTCTCGATCGACATAAAACTTGCTGCTCCAACCAAGGCGTACACCACAATCAGCCCGCCGACACCGACTTGGGTGCACATAAATGCGATAAACTTCCGACAGCAATCTTTCACCTTCTCGCGCGGATCACTAGTCGTTGTCGAGGAGGATCCTCGACTTCGCACTGACGATCTCTGCCGATTCATCTTCACTTTTCGGTCCCACACACGCTCGTTTGACTAATATGTTTTTATTTTGCGGCTTCTCTCACCGCGCTAATCAATAAATACTACGCGATCTTCTTGTCGCCACTTATTTTAGATGCCAACAAGAAGCAACTTTCAAAGATCCATTTTCATAATCGTCTCCTCTCTTTCCTGACCAGCAGTTTTCCTCCAAAATTGTTACGCTTCACCCGAAGGCACTGTTAGTCACAACATATTTTCCCTCTCACTCTCCGGGCAACCGACGTTATACAAACAAGTTTCTTCTCACGAGTTTTCCTCTCTATCTACAAGCACGTGGATCTGTTTGTATTGGTTTGAGATTTTCCCATCTCACGTAATTCCAACTTTTCTCACTCTCTAGGAATTTTCCTTATTGATGAATCTGTCACTTGCCAAGAGGCCTCAAATTTGTTCCATTTTCGGACATCTTTCCTGCGGTTTACACGATCGAGGAATACAATCAATCACTTTCAACGATCGGAAAAACACCTAACGCCTCGTTTTCGCACTAACTTGAGGTTTTCTTGTATCGATTTGCGTCGTTTTGAGCCTCTCTGCTGCACAGGGATGGGTTGAGCTTGATCGCTGGGGATCAGACCAGATTTCTGACAAAAACGCGTTTTCACAGATGTAAGTCTCGTTCCGAACTGCGATGGGGGAGAAGAAATATGGGAAAATTTTCACAGTGTGGATTTTCCACTCGACTTGAATCTGTGTGTGTGTGTCAGAATTTGCGTGTTTTCAAATTAAACGAAGAGAAATAAAGCTGATAATTAAGTGGCGTCCTGCAATCGATCAAGGCGTCCGAACTACGATCAAGAAGAGGTGCAAAAGTTGAACTCCAAAGCTTGTCTATTTGTATTGGCAGTTATGCGTTCAAATAAACATGATTATTTACGACACTCATGTCGTTTATTACGATGCATGCGGTGCTTCTGTGGGGTTAAACTTGGCTAAACAGTAGTTCGCTTGTTTGGGTATCTGTTTTTGGTTATTCTCACGATACCACCTAGGGGAAGATGGGGTTATTAGGCACATGTTAGTTTAATGGAAATTTATCTCAAAATTGTGTGTTATGCTGGAAAACAATATATGACGTTTGCATGAAAAATAGTACACTTTTTCACCAATTGTTTCACTTAACGGAAAATACTGAAATGTGATTTAAAGCTGGCATAGGGTTCAAGGATGTAAATTTGGCCCAGTGTTCGAAAAACTCATAAACCTCAATCTCATGCGTGAGTTTATTCGCCTTTCAGTTTTGCCTTGCGAAATTCAACTACACAAAAATCACCGATGAGTTTTCAAGTTAAAAAATTCATTGTTTCATATTTTGACGTTATTCTTTTTTTTTTTTTTTGTAAATTCATTTATGTATCAAGCAGGGCTGGTAGCCAGTCACTTTTTAGTGACTTGGTTACTTTTTTCAAGTCAGTTACTAAAAAGTCTCTTTTTTTAAGCCCAAGTCACTAAAGTCACTTTTTCTTGTAATACGTCATTATTTTCAACTTTTTTAGCGTGAATTTATTTCTCGATTGATTATTCTTTGCGTTGTGACGTTTAATCGTCATGTCTACTCATTTTTCTCGATAAAATTACCTGAGCTTTCCAAGTAAGTAAGTCTAATAATATTCAATGTCTTGAATTTTCGTATTCCATGTACAAGTTCAAGATATTGAAAATATTCAAAGTGCCAGAATTAAGTAAACAAATAAATAATCTTCAATGCAGTCCCATTAACTTTACAACAATTGTAGGAACTTTGGAGAAGTTCTGAGGAATGAAAGGAAATGCTGAGAATGTCAGTGAAGCTCTATAAACAAACTGCAGGAACATGAGGGAAGTTAACACGCTGAAAATATGGGAAACTTACTTAGCGTCCGAAACTTTTCAGGAACTTTTATGACGTTCCTAGAATATCAGAGAACTACATAGGTGTCAAGCAAACTTAAAAAATTTAGAAAACTTGAGGAGTAATGTGCAAATTTTTAAGAAGTTCTATGCACCTCAGAAAAGCTAGATTGATTAAAAATATATAATCGTAAATTTAGATAAATTCATGATAGTGCTGAAAAACAAACAGAGAATCCTTAAGATGTTCCGTGCATTGCTGGGAAGTACAGAGACCTTCAGAGAATTTATGAAAACTTCAGAAACATCACAGAAGTCCAATGAACTTAAGGGGAATTTGAAGCTGTTAAGAAATAAGAGCTTTATGGAAGCCTCGAGAACATCCAGATAGGTCAGAGAATCAAAGGGTAGTTCAAATAATTTCAAGGAAATATTAGAAACCTTAAAGAAGTTTCGAGACACTCAGTGCATTTCCAAAAAACTTCAGCAAAGTTCCGAGAGAATTCCTGGAAATTTTATGAATATCCGGAAAACGTGAGAGTATTTTAAGGTTGTGTAGATTTCAAGAACTTAAAAAAATGCGAAAACAGAGAACATCAACGAAGAACTTTTAGCTAGCAGCGATATCTTTAAGAGATTCCAGAGATCTGTATTAAGTTCTTTAGATATTTTTAGATTGTTTTATGATATTCAGCGAAGTTCCGAGTACTTCGACGACAATCGAGCTTCAGAATAATTCCATTACCTTAAGCAAATTTGCAGAGACGTACAAGGAGTTCCGTGGAATCATAGGGTCTTCCAAGAATTCTATAATTAATTCTAAAATGTCAGAAGCGTCAGGGAGTTATGAATATATATTAGAAAATTTGCTGGATTATTGAACAAATTTAGAAACCTTCAGGTAAGCATAGATAAATTCAGGAAAAAGTGATAGAATAGTTAAGGAACATTTTTGACACGTCATGGCTAATTAATTGATTTCAGTAAAGTTGCTGGTTCTTAAAAAATACTGATAAATTTAGGGCAGTCTAGAGAACTTGGAATTCAGTTATCGTTTATGAATCAGGAAATCTAGGCTATTGATGAAGTTTTAAATTAGTGTCGACAATTAAAGGGAATTTTTAAGAACTTCAAAAAAAATCTGGAGAACTTCAGTGAAAATCATAAAACTATATTAACTATTTCGTTCTAATTCCATGAAAATTGCGGGAGCATAAAAGTTCCATAAATTTAAAAAACTTCGGAAACTTCACAGACGGACAGTGGTCTTCCGAAAACCAAAAAAAAAATTATTTATTTTTTTAAGTTAACCATCCACTGTGAATCTTTAAAGTTCAAAGTGTGAATGAAAATAAGGAGAAATAATTATTTTCTTTAAAATATCCTTAGTATTTTTTTTTTTAATTCTTTAAGACTTCCAGGTATTCTAAGGAAAAAAAAAACTGAGGATTCCCAGCATTCCAGATTTTTGAAGTTAGTAGACACCGTGACTAATACCGTGGCTTTGGTTATAAACTTTCTATTGAATCTTTCGCTTTAAAGGTTCATAGCGTACATAAATGTTTATGAGATAATAATTGAATGAGTCTAAAACATCAAACATTTATTTGATGCGCCTTCTCTTACGTCACTTTTTAGTCACTATTTTTACAAATTTAAGACATTATTTGGTCACTTATTTATTCAGCATGGTCACTAAAATCACTATTTCTGACAGCAGTGATCGCTACCAGCCCTGCTATTGAATTAGTTTAAAAATCTATAAGCGTGAGTTTAAGACAAATTCAGGATAGTTCCATGAGGTGCTGAAATAAAACCCATAAGATGTTCCGAAAGATTAAGTACAGAGACTTTCAGAAAATTTATGAAAACTTCAGAAATATTTCAGGAACTTCACAGAAATCCAGGGAATCCCAGGGAAGTTTAAAGCTGTTTACGGGGATTTCTTTTATTTTAAAGCAGAACCGAGATCTTCATTAGAGTTGAGAGAGTTAAGTAAGTTCCGAGAACATCAAGACAGATCAGAGAATTAAAGGGCTGTTAAAAAAAATTCAAGAAAATAGCAAAGACCGAAATTTCCGGAAAATTTGGTTTGCTCTGAGAAAATTTCTGGAACGCGATAAAAATTGTTTGTTTGAACATCCGGAAAATGTGAGAGTATTTCAAGGGTGTAATATCATAGGGGCCTCATAGCCTAGTCAGTAAAGGCACGGTATTACCAAGCCGGAGGCGGCGGGTTCGATTCCCGGTCCGTTCGAGGGAATCTCTCGGGTTGGAAATTTTCTCGACTTCCATGGGCATAGAGTATCATTGTGCTTGCCACACAATATACAAAATCATGCATTGGGTACTGGCATCGAAAGCTCTCAATTAATAACTGTGGAAGTGCATTTAGAACGCTAAGTTGAGGGCACGCAATATGCTAATATGCGCTAAGCAAAAAACTTGAAATGCGAACAAGAAGAAGAATATCATTAAAATTTCAAGATCTAAAAAAATCGAAAATTTAGCTAAGTTGATTAGAGAACATCAACGAATCAACGAATTAATTAAAAAAAAAATGCGAAAACTTAGAGCATTCGCCGATATTTTCAAGAAATTCCAGAGAACTTCTAAGAAATTTAGATATTTTTAGATTATTCATTATATTCAGTGAAGTTCCGAATACTTCGAGTACGATCGGATAACATCAGAAAAATCACATTAACTTAAAGAAATTTGCAGCGACTTTCAAGGAGTGTCTTGGATTATGGGATATTCCGAGAATTCTATGATTGATCCGAAAACTTTTGAAGCTTGAACATTTGATTAATTTAGAGGAATTAAGGTTAGCATAGAAAACTTATTGCAGGGAAAATAAGTGATTTACGGAAAAGTTCCGTGAGCGTTTATAAACTTTATAAAACTTAAGGAAAATTGTAGAATTTAAAGGCAATTAAATCAATTCCAGTAAAATTGTGCGTTCTTTTAAAAAAATACTAACCCGCATAAACAATAACCATAAGAAGCGCCTAACCACCAATTCGGGATATCATCCTAACTTTATGTGGTATGGTCGTACCATCTATGATAGCGTTAGTGTATGCTACATGATTATTAGGGAAGGCATGGCATTTTAGAGAATTTTAAGGAAATTGAGAAATATTTTGGGCAGTTTTAAAAACATCAGGAAACTCTAGACTATTGAAGAAGCTATGAATTAGTTCCAATAATTTGAACTTCAGATAAATCTTGATAATTTCAGTGAAAATCCTAGAACTATATTATTTATTTCACTGCGGAAGCCTAAAGAAGTTCCTGAAATTTCAGAATAACTTCGAAATTTTCACTGAAGTACAGAGATCTTCAGAAACATTTCGAGAACTTCACCGAAGTACACAGATCTTCAGAAACATTTCGAGAACTTCATAAAAGTCTATGGAACTTGAGGAAAGATCCGAGAACTTCAGAAACTTTTATGGGCATTTCGGGAGCATCTCAAATAAGTTTAGTAAAGCCCCAAAAACAAAGGGAAATTCAGGGGAGTTCAGTTCCATTAGTTTCACTAAATTAGCGGGAAATTTCAAGAAGTTCCCAGATTTTCAGAGAACTTAAGAGATGTTAAGAAAATTATTGAGGTTTTCACATAAGTCCAGAAGTTCACGCAAGCTTAAACATTTTTAGAACAGCTCAATTAAATTCATGGCAGTATAACAAGCTTCATAAGAACTGCAAACACTTTAGAGAAATTTCGATAACTTCGAAAAAGATATTGATCTCGCTAATAAAGCTCTAAAAAAATCAAAAAAGAACAG